AATAATAACTATAAAACAGCTACGTAACTCAAGCAACATCACCATCCTCCAGAATGACTCCTAAAAACTTGCTCATTTGTCAGCCTAATCATGTCTTACTCTCATAATAGATATGATCATAGTAGTCCAATTACAAGGAAAATGTAAGGTAAGCTTACAAAGGACAACACAACAAATACAGAAGTAAAGTACAATTATACTATCAACATCAACATATAAACATTTCTAGAATCAACACCCCAATTCTAATTAACAACTTTCAACAAGTCAACACAACATATAAATCATACAATAAAACACATCAATGTTTTCAACTTAAACAACATAACAACATCTCAACTTACAACACAACCATATAACTTATCGACATATCAACTTAACATATGAATAACATAACACATCAATTTTATGTGTCGTCATACATTCAACTAAGATATCTACAACATAGGTGAACATTCTAAGTAATTTGACCTTATTAAACCAACTTTACAACATGATCTTTTTCGGTTTGTTTGATCAACAACAAATTAGGATAAAAATCCAAACATAAAATGTTTTTATCAAATTTTGCTACTTAAACTAAGAAAATACAATATTTTTGTTAAGGTTAGGACAACATGAGTGTGAGTCTACTATAACCTTAGCATGCATAACTAAACCTATTATAGAATTCGTTCATCGACTACCCTCCAAATAATGCGCCCCTTCCAATACTCAGGGATTTTGACCTTCAACTTTGTACATTACTCGATTGGTCACTTCCTACAATGTATAAATCGAACGTGCCCTTGTACAATTCTACATTTGGTAACTTTTAAAGTAGTATAGATCGACTTGGCTCGCATACTATGTCAACTAAGAACCTAGATGAGACTCAACACTTTAATTCAAGAGTCAACTATACTTAAGAAAAGTTTTTCAACTATTAGGCTTGTAGAACACAACAACACCATGTCCAATATTCATCTTTTAAAACAACATCTCTCTTCCAATCCCAAGTTAACTAACATAGTACAACTTCATGCATTAAGCATTCACAACACAGCCACTATAAACCTTACACTTCATACAACTTTACTACAATTCAACTCTCATCAACTTACAACTTTAAGCAACTTAAGTAACAATATACATCATCCTAAATCAATGTATAAGGAATTATAGTCATATAACAACATAACACATATGAGTAATCCAACTTATTACACACATGTTCAACACTTAGTTAAATAAATAACACACTTTCATTTGGCAACTCACACCCAATGTCATTCTCCTAGCGCATGATGTCATTGAGGCAAAGATTCCTTGTGTCAATCATGTCTAGTGTGGCTAAACCCACTCTCGACCTCATTTAATTAGAGGACCTATACTTGACTCACGTCCAACACCATTCAACTCGCACCCAATGTTATCTAGGCAAAGAGCTACTACCTTGATCGTATTTGGCAGACTCAAAACGAGGTTTAGTGTCACCAAGTTAGGGAGCCCTCAAGGCAACCATGCCCAAAACCGCCAACCTACATCCGACATGACTAAGTTAGAGAGTTATCCTCTAACTCACTTCTAGCGCTACCACTCTTGCACTTGATACATCAATGAGATAGAGAACATTTGACTTGCATCACGTCCGATGCCATAAAGTTTTTCCCAATGTGACGGTGAATTTTGCACTTGGCATATTCACTTTTTTCCTCAATCTACCTAAAACTAAAAAATTACCAACATGTAATGCCAAAAATCACATATACACATCAATCAACTCAATTCCAACCAAAAGAACAATATGAAACCAACATATGACTAAAAAATATCACCAATTTCTCTTCATCATGTTCAAGAAACACTAAAACCAACAATATAAGGGTTCAACTTCACAATAATCAACACAACCACAATTTTAGGGAATTCAAGCAATATACAACTCAAAAAATTCATTAAGAATTCAAGTTGTAGCTTCCGTTACCTTCAAAACATTTAGAATAGAGGGAGAAGAAAATGAAGTCTCTTTGCTAACTCCATATGATATTAGCACCACCACTTGATTCTCAACTTTTTGAATGTTGAATCTTACAACTAAGCTTTAGGAAAGATCTTAGTACTCTCTTGATGACTCAAGAGAAGAAGAAAGAAATCCTAACTCTATAGTCTTTCGATTTAACTTTTCTCTAATTTTATGAAGATCTTATATATATTATTCTAAATTGGGTCAACTTAACGAAAATTCCTAAACAACAAAACTCATAAATTTTTTTAAACCTTCATAATTTCACATTTAAACAACTAATTACAATGATATTAATTTAATAAAATCTATAATTACTAACAAAATTAACGATATTAAAAAAAATAAAAATATTCTTTACCTAATTATGAGATGTTAAAAATAATTTTTTTGTTAGAATTAATAGATCTTTTCGGCCTTTTCTGATTGGACACCGACGGTCCGATCGGATTTTTGAATAAGATAATAATTTATTGAATTAAAGTAGGCATCCCACAATCGCACCCGCGACAATACTTAAAAAGTAATATATTCATTGAATTAAAGAATTTAACTTGATAATTATAAAATTAATGATTGTAGGGGATAGTGCAAAACGGTTTCTACAATCATATTAAAGCGAGAATTATTTTATAAGATTTGAAATTTTTTGTATACTTATCGATCATGATTCATGGGTTAGTGATAAAATTAATAATTTTGTTATAATTATTGAAAAGTCAATTTTGATGAGAAGTGTAATGGGTCTATTGAAAGAAGCGGTGGAGCAGCTATACGTCATATCTCAATAAAAGCATCATGTCTCGGTAAAAGGGCCAGAAAGGGTGAGGCTTAGCCTTTATCAAACGCTAACACTACCATACTTAGAAATCTCTGTACTTTGTCACTGATTTTATAGGGCCCAATAATATAAAATAAAAAATTAAAAAAAAAACAATTTTACATCTTTTATGTTATTCTCTATCCTATTTCATAACAAGTGCTGTCATAATTTTTTAAAATAAATTAAAAATTAATGAATAGCTGAATTAAAATAATAATTTTATAAAATTATAATCTTTCTTGCCAGTAAATATGCAACACAACAACAATTTAAAAAGTATTATTAGGAATATCAATAAAAAAATAATAATTAATACTACATTATAAAATTAAGATATCATTTATTTTATAACTTATTTTTTTCTTCTAGAATATACTACTGGTGGATGGATAATAAATACATCCCATGTTTTTTTTTAATTATTAGTTTTTTTTTAAGAGTTGAATTTTATTTATTTATTTATTTATTATTTTTAAAGTTTAAAACAACATTATTTTTACTACATCCTTACTTTTTATCTAAATTTTAATTAATTTAAACATTAATTAATATATATTTATTATATAATAAAAATAGTATAATAGATATATCATATTTAGGAGTGTAAATGGGTACAAATAACTCACTAATCCAAATTGATCTAATAAATTTGGATTAAATTTTTAAATTTTTAGGTTAAACTTAATCCAACTTGATCAAGAGTTAGTACTATACAGATCAGATAACAAATTTTGTATTTTCTAATTTATGATCAAACTTGACCTTTTAACTCGTGATCCAAATTGACTCAATCATATAATAATAATAATAACAATAATAATAATAATAATAATAATAATAATAATAAGTTAATGCGATCACTTATTTAAGACAATACTTTCTGACACTCTTATTGAGTAACAAATATTATTTTTTTAGATTAATAATATTATAGTAATATAACATACTATTTTTTTTGTATTAATATTAATTATTTGGATTGATAATAATTTAACAAATCAAACAAATTTATTTTTAAAATTTAGTTCAAATAATTATTTATTTTTATCGACCAATAACATTACATTTTAATAATATATCAAATAATATACATTCATTAAATATTTAAATTTTTATAAAAAAATAAATTTAATTATATTAATTTAATTGACCCAATTCCAGTTAACTTATTCATAATCACGAATTAAACTTCAAAAAAAATAATAAATTCAACCTAATTTAACATATTAAATTTTAATCAAATCAAATAATAAATTCATTAAAACACAATCTAATCTAACTCACTTATTAATAAAATTATGATATCTCTCATAAGAATCGATCACACCTTAAAGTTATAGATGATCTTAAAGTTGTAGATAATATTCATTACTCAAATACATCTTCCTCATATCCATATTATCCCTTACAAGAACTATTGGCATAAAGAATACAAGTGCAATGTTTGGTAATGCTTATCATTGTCGTTAGACCAATAAAACATTATTAATATGATAACTGAATGGTAATAATTATATAAGGTCTTCGCATAATCATTAGTGTCATTGAATATACCACACCTATGAAGGGAGTTATTGGCCTATAAGAGAGAAGAGAATGCAATGTGTTAATTAACTTGAAGGACTTATATCAATACACATTTCTTCTGCAGGTAAAATATAAAATTTTAAAGTTATTTTATGAAATATAAGAAGGATTAATATTGTATTTATTAATTTGTGTATAATAATAACTTTGAAAACTATTAAAATGAAATGAATGTAGTATTAAAAGGTATTATAATAATTTCTTATAATTTATCTTTGAACAGTACCATTCCAAAGATTTGTATATAATCAATTACTCTTTTCAAGTTTTGTTCCAAATTTGTATTCGTTTGCTTTTTTTTTTTCCAAAACAATTGAGATTTGAATATATTAATTATATCTTTATTTAATACACAATTTTTACATAAACTATTCACCTATTTTACATATTGTATTTATTAATTCGTGGCCTTTAAAATTGAATACTAGTATTAATTAGTAGGGGGTTTTTTCTGGCGATTTCAAAAAACCGCCACAAAATATTATATTTCTGGCAGTGTTTTAACCGCCACAAAAGAATGATAGCCAAAAATACTTGCCAACTGCTAAAATATAATATATTTTCGGCGACGCTTGTACTAGATAGGTTTGTACTGTTTAGTGGTTTCTCTTTGCTCTAATTTTTTTATTGTAATTGAAGCATTACTTTAGTTATTTTAAGCGGTGTCAGAAAAGAAATAATTCATTATCAGCATTATGGAATTCCATCCTCTTCGGCTTAGTTGTTACAATTGCAGTACTGTTTGCTTTTCAGTTTTTAGCATTCATTCAATTCAAAATGGAACTTAAGTTGGAATCCGGCCTAAGTTAAGAGAAAGAGTTTGAGTATAAATATAATAAATTGAGACAAATTAAAAGCTTGGTTCTTTATATTTTGGTACATGATCAAATATCTTGATAGACATAACTGTGAGACCGACCCTTGAGTTGAAAGTGATGGTTGGGTAAAATTCTTCTTTAGGTAAAAACGTCAGAATTTGAATTTCCAACATTACCTGGAGATATAGTCTATTTTCACTTCAACAAAACACAGTTAGTGATTAATTGTTCAATACAAAATACGCACAAAAGGGCAGCCAAATTGAGATGACCACGTTGATATGAGGTTGCCAGTGCATAGGGGATATAATTGAATTGAACGGTCCTTGTTTTATTAAGGTTGCCAATACATAATTTAAGTTAGAAAT